GGGTAGGTGTAGACGAAGTTCAATCCCGGCCCCCCGCCCCCCCCCGCCCAGCCCTGTTGTTATGGAAGAGTCACCCCCTACCGTTTCTCAAGACTACTTGCTCGCTGTCCCTGTGCCGTCCGTACTCTCCAAATACGACCGTCCTTGGTCTGCGATTCTTCATGTGATTTGTGGGTTGTCACAGGGATTAGATTAGCACACCAACTTTATTACAAATAGAATTTTAGCCCTGAAAAGCGCTACGGAGACATTGTAAAAATTCTTGGTAAATTTAGTCATGGCGAGTCCTGCGACACGTGGGTAGGTTTCAACAACAAGTGATGTGTGACCATGTACGGTGCAGTGAAAGCGACGTCCCAGAGTAAATCCTGTACCCTAATAGACATTGTCTCCAGTCCACCAGAAGTGTTAAGTAACTCCATGTCGTCCACAAAATATCGCAATTGTCATTCATGGAGACGATACCATACCCAACTCGGGTGCTAGACACAATGTTCCCGACATTGGTGACAGTAAGCCACTCATAGGGGTACCCATTATCCGTATTAACTACAATGCAAAGTGTCCCATGTCATGGAAGTCTGTGGTGCAAGGGGAGATCTTGAAGGGGTTCGAGGAGAATGCCAGTCACCCCCAGCTGTAGACCCGGTCGAGTGGCACTTAGTCCGGGTCTACCACCAAGACCTCAGTCCTACCGCGTCGTAAAACGGGTGTCCCTTTGGGTGGGTCCGTACCTGCCCAGTCTCCCCTGGTGGAGTTTAGGCGCAAACGACGTCAAAACACTTGGGAACAGTACAGCCCCAAAGTTATTGTGAGGGCCTTTTTGTGCTATGAAACTCAGTAGTAATACCCGACGGCACAACAAGGTTTAAACAGTCAGCTGGAGCTCACTTGAGCCTTATCCAGATGATGCACTTACCCATGTTTCTTTACACTAAAAGTACAAGAAAGCTTTTAACTCCACCATACAACACTGACAGAGGAAAAGTGAAACAAGCAAGTGTGTGAGATGATTCATTTCTTGGGTTTGCTGAAACGGATGAATTTAATACCCAAGAATGTGTTGTGCAATTGGCCAAAGTACATCATATTTATGTATCTAAATTTCATAGTCCAGACTGTTTCCTCATGGAATCTAGCCAAAGATTAAGGTGTGTCCTCCAGTTACCTCCATGACTTGGTTATAAACCAGATTTTATCATCACTCAAACAGATATAGGTATCATTATTATGACAACAGATAGGTATCATGATCATTAATGTTTACATAAACTAACTTTAGACCAAAGTTTAAATGTTCCTGCGTCACATAAGCAATAACTGTTGCCAACATTGTGGTTGGTGTGAATTATGTTGTTACAATGAATAGTTTAGTTAGTATGTTAATTGTTTTGATGTGATTTGGGTGAACACTCGATTATCTAGATATTTCCTCACAAATATTTATAATACTTCTACAAATACTTATTAAAAGTTAAAGCTTTCAGGCTGATCGGCTTAAATGCAGACAACTTAAAAGAAATGCCTTGCAGTTTGCCCATCATTTTATATCATCATATCACTTAAGGAACCTTTGATCTTTTGGGTGGATCTCATTGGATAACAGAGTTACAGAGCACACTTAATTATACTTATTAATCCCTTAAGCCAGGAGAGGAATGCAGTGCTTTGGCTTCTGTCACCGGTTTGAACTCACGCACATCCTCCACACACCTGATTAAAAGCTTTCCTTAACGCTTTAGTTGTTCATTTTGAGAAACTATAACGAGTATGGTAGAATTTAAAAGAATCCAACCATCACTTTCCCAATGAAAGCAGCTAGCAGCGCTGCTACTATTGTTGCTCAATCTAGTGAGAAAGTTAATCTAACAGCCAATATTTATAGGCCTCCCTCTTCAAGCAAACGTCAAATTATCACTATGAATTGTTTAGGTCAATTATAATTGACCAATACAATTCTAATAGCTATCGTTTGTACCCATAGCTTTCAAACCTGTGAAAGACTCTGGTCACACGCAATGAGAAGTAATTGGAAAAAAGTCATGCCAAGCAATTTATACAAGATTTTTTTATTTCTTTGTCAGAGCAATGGATTTATTGAACGCTGTCAGGATGTAAAGTGTCTTTTACACTGGAAGGCCAGACACTTAACCCCAAATAGCTCCTGTTGGCGGGGCTAACAGTGTGTGTATGGCAGCCTCTGCCTCTGTATGAATGTGTGTGATCAGCTAAATGCTGACCTGAATGTGTAAAAGCGATGTGATGTGTCACAAAGAATGGAAAAGCTCTGTATAAATGCAGACCATTAACGATTTAAAGAGGATTTCAACAAATCTACAAAAATATGTTTTTTACAGAAGGTTTCCACCCCTAGCTTTAATAGTTTTCATATACAGCATGAAAAACAGCCAAATGGGAAAATATAGGTGTCAGGTATACAGACTGAAGCAATAGGTCATTTGCTAAATGGTCCATCCCTTTTGTCATTTTATCCTGATCACATATTTACATGCTGATGTGGTCTGGATTGAGCGAGGTGAGGCGTGTGCTGGCTAGACAGTAATACATTCCTGGAACAGAGACGTGGACAGCTAGTGGGCATGATGTGGTCAAAGAGAAACACACAAGCGCTCATTTCATGCTTCTCTGAATCTGGTTTTGTCACTTTCTTTTTATCGGTCTTCCTGCCTTCTGCCTGCTTCAATAGGGAGAAGACAGCAGACGCCTGTCTCCTTCTATCCACTCAATGAATGCTGTAGTGTAGCCCATCCAACTGTGATAAGTAGACTCTCTGACTCTGACTCTCACTGACACTTTTTAGAATATGCCTATAGTTGAAATGCGGTTTAAATGGTTAATAAAACTGAAGTTCATCTATAGAAGTACATTTCCCTCCGTATCTGTGTTTTGAATGAGGTAATTCATCTTTATAACCTGTTCAAGTTAATTACTTTTTATCATCCATTGTTGCTTTAAGTGTTGCCTGGCAACAGATCTGAGTGCTGGCATGACCTTCGCACAGGAAAACCATAAGCAGTAGGAGTCACCAGGATAAAATGTTGAAAGGTTTCAGTGAGTGCATGACTTTGGAGCTGGAAAGATGCTTTTGATGGGACTGTTAGTTCAGTGACCTGGTAATACAATTTAAAGGTGGGGTAGGTACGTTTGAGAAACCGGCTCGAGATACACTTTTTGTTATATTCCATGGAATGCTCTTAACGTCAAAGCACTATTCATTGCTATCGGGATGTTAAGAGCATTCCATGGAATATAACAAAAAGTGTATCTCGAGCCGGTTTCTCAAACGTACCTACCCCACCTTTAAATTGTATTACCAGGTCACTGAACTNACACACACACACACACACACACACACACACACACACACACACACACACACGCAAACACACTGAATATCACACCCTTTAGGTTGTTAAAAGTTAAAAGTTAAAATGCACCGTGTTCATGTCAGCGGCCAAATGTCTGTTCATGTAAAAACTCACATCTTTTGTTTGCAAAATTAAAATACCTTGCCCTTACATCATGAGTAATGCCGGCTGTGGCCACCAGAGGGCGCTGTGAGGCTGTGTGTGTGCTGAAACCAGGACAAGACTCGCAACACAATTTAATGTCAGCGGTCAATTGAAACCAAAGACAAACTCATTCAGATCCAGAGTCCTCCTTTTTACACAAACAGAGTCCTGGGGAGAATTGGTTACATTTAAAAATATACATTTGTATTTTAAATATGGGATTTAAAGTCTGAGGCGTGGATATATATATATTTTTTGTATTTCCTCCTAATGTTTTAGGTTCGGTTTTCTTCTGCGATATTTTATTTCTCCTATTAAACTGTCTATGTTTAGTTAGATCATAAATGTCACTGTTGGTTTTTTTGTGTGCATTTTTTATTGTAATTGTGTGTTGGACCTTTAAACAATAAAGATATGAAATACAAAATAAAGAAAGCAATAGGTTTTTAATTTTGGCCGTTATAGATTTGGTAAAATAAACTGTTCAAGTGTGTTGTGTCTCATTAAACAGTAAAGTATATATAGTAATATGATGAGTGGGGGGGGGAAACAAATCAAAATCATGAGTCAGTTATTGCAAAAAATCACAATATTGACAGAAATAATTTACAAATAAATAATTCATCAATTCAATTTTTTTGGGGAGTTCCTGTTCAGGCTTTTATATCGATGCAGTTATTTTATAAAAAGTTAGGAGAAAGGGAGCTTCATGTCTCTTTTGGTGAGGATGAAGGTAGAGAGGAGGAGGAGGAGGAAGAGGAGGAAGAGGAGTAAGGGACATAATGACATCAATATATGAACAATCGCGCTTCTATTGGCTAGCGCTCCAACACATTGTACCTGATAGGCTAAGGGGTTGGACCTCTCTAAGCGGTTGACCAATCACAACAGAGCCGGCCAGCTAACCAATCAGAGCAGACTGGGCTCTGGTTTCAGACAGAGGGTGAAAAGAGGTGCTGCAGCACAGACAGTATGAGAAAAATAAAGAGCTTTTTGAACATTAAAAAATTGTGGATTTAATATCAGATCATTTTTCAGTGTTTTCCTGCAAACGTATGATTTAAGGTAGATAGGTGGATAGATAGATAGATAGATACTGTAGATAGATAGATAGATAGATAGATAGATAGATAGATACTGAGACTGCCAAGGACACACA